ATAAATGCTGTATGAACTATCAGCTAAGCTTTGTGAATAAATATAACTTAGAGGTTTCTTCGAGTAATGGAGTATAAAATTTCAAAATTATATATATATATATATATATATATATATATATATATATATATATAATATATATATATATATATATATATATATATATATATATATATATATATATATATATATATATATACATATACAGTATCGGAAAAAACATTTGCAACCAACATCGAACAATGCTAAAAAGTATTCCTAATTTTACATGTCTTAAAAAGAAACCAACTATACTACCACAGCAAATAGTTTAGGAGTCTGGAGTCATAGCATGCCATGACATGAGCAATCAGCTGACAGGTGACAGCACACAGATAGAATTTCGTTGACAAGTGCCATTTTGCAGCGGACGAAACAAGTGCAACTTTTTTGGTTTGTTTCATTTTCTTAAGTCTGGTCCGTGTTAACGTCACGAGAGTTTTTTAATAATTAAAGGAAGTATCCAGAAGTTTCCAGAAGCATGCAAAAGCTTCCAAAAGTTTCCAGAAGAAGCATCCAGAAGCATCCAGAAGTATCCAGAAACATTCAGAAGCATCCAGACGCATCCAGAAGTTTCCAGAAGCATCGAAAAGAAGCATCTAGAACCTTCCGGAACAGGTTCACACAGGTTCATTTTACTATATAAGAGACATGTAAACCGACATGTAATTCAGTCAGTAGTATATGGAAGTCAAGTCAGAGCATTATTGTATCATCACAAGGTAAATGTAACATGGTAAGCCTTGAGAAGCGTGATTATTTATTTTTATTATTTTTATGACTTCAAGTGCAAAAATGGCTCCCGACAGTCTTAGATTGAAACTTAGAAAGAAAATTATTGGCGATTACGTAAGTGGAATGTCACAAAAAAGTATTTGTGATAAATATCGCGTGAAAAAATGGACCGTATTAAGACTATGTTTCAAATATCGTTCTACGGGAAAGTTGACAGCACATAACAAAGGCGAAAGAACGCGTTACACCACTTCTAGAGAGGATTTTATGATTGTCTGATCCGTCAAGAAGGATCCCTGGATATCATCAGTCGAAATACAAAAGCAATTAGAGCTGCCTGTATCGGACCGAACAATCAGACGACGTGCTGTTGAAACCGGATTGTTTTCTCGCCGCCCTGCAAAAAAACTGCTAATTTCACTAAGAAAAGACTCCTGTTTGCAACATCTCATATTGACTGGAATGTGCAGAAATGGCGAACTGTCCTGTTCAGTGATAAATCGAAGTTCAACATCATTAGGAGCGATGGCATTTGCCGTGTATGTCGCCTCCATTTACGTTACTGCCATAAGACCGTGAAGCATAGTGGAGCAGTGGTTTCAAGACAACCACCTACCGGTGATGGATTGGACGCCTCAATCTCTGGATCTCAACCTTATCGAGAACCTGTGGGAGATCGTCAACCGCAGAATTAATCGTGAAGGTGCTCGTAATAAGAATTAACTGTTTGAACAAATCCAAAAGGCATGGGCAGCAATTTCACAAAGTTTCATTGATCACCTGATTGAATCTATGCCTCAAAGATGCAAGGCTAATTATGTATAAGGCTAATTAGTTAATTGGTAATACCAATTTAGTTGAAGCAAGGACGTAAAATAAGATTTGATCTTATTTTACGTCCTCAGTTGAAAAAGTTAAATAGTTTTGAAAACGTAAATTTTTCAAAAGTTTTGTCAATTATATATACATATATACATATATATATATATATATATATATATATATATATATATATATATATATATATATATATATATATATATATATATATATATATATATACTTACATTTTTGTTATTGTTTACAAAAACAAACAAACAAAGCTTCTGAAAGAAGATCATAATGATCTTATCATAAGAACATTTACAAATTTTTTACTTCAATACATAAGCAAGACATGAATCTTATCGTCAGAACTTATAAAAGCGCAAATATATAAATAGCATGTATAAATATATATACAAAGTAAATACAGTAAGACAACTTTTTTAATAAGAAAGAGAAAAGATTAGTTGTAAGAACAGTCTTACAATTAAAAAAGCAAATACGTGGTTGTTATAAAGGTCGTTGAATAATTATTTTTGTTATAAGTTTAATAAAGTTTAATAAATTAAGTTTAATAAATTAAGTTTAATAAATTATGTTTAATAAACTAAGTTTAATAAATTAAGTTTAATAAAGAATAATTTCGGGAAATTATTTGGATAGCGTATAACAACATTGCGTTTTTCTTTAAATGTTAAAAACTTTATTTTTGCTTACTTCATTAAAAAATACATGATATACAGTAGCTTTCATAAATTTAGACGCATTCATTTTTTTTTTCATATATGTAAGAGAATACTCAAAATAAAAATAAAATAAAAGTGTTATCAAAACATTTATATATCAAATATAAATGCTTGATATATAATTTAAAAGAGGAAATGAAACTATTATAGAGTACCTTTTTTTTATAGAGTACCTTTTTTTTACAGGATATTTATTACTCATTCTATACCGATTAACACAAAAAAGTTAATTGATAAACTTGATTTTATTTTGTTCATAAATTTAGACGCACAATTAAAAAAGTCTTATATCTTGTTAATTGATAGTTTATTAGTAGTTTTTCTTATTAATAGGCCTAAACTAATTGATTTTGTCAAAAAACCTTATATAAATATGACTTACCTGGAATTATTTAATAAATAAACAAAAGTTAAGTTAGTTTTGCACTAAAAAAACGTAAAAAATGGGCAAAAGACGTATCACTCAAGGTGAAAGATGGCAAATTATTGCGCACATCAAAGAAGGAACCAAAAGTAATAGAGAAATCGCCAAGTTAATTGGAGTTTCTGAGAAATGCGTTCGGACAACGAAACAAAACTTTCTTCACACTGGTGGTGCCAGCGAGAAAACGAGGCCAGGTAGACCCTTGTCAACCACGAGAAAGGACGATAGTGTTCTTTTTAGAGCTGTCAGAGCTAATCCAAGAATTAGTTACAAAGAATTGACCACAGAATTCAATACAACGCGAAATACATCTATTTCTCAAAGCACAGTCCGCCGAATACTTATCAAATACAAGATTGGAGTCTACACTGCTTTGAAGAAACCGCTTCTGCGTCCATATGATAAACAAAGGAGACTAAAATGGTGTCGTGAAAGAAGGTATTGGACAATAGATCGATGGGAAAACATTATGTTGAGTGATGAGAGTAACTTTGAGCTTATCAATCGCAGATCTAACATAACAGTCAAAAGAATGGCTCACGAAAAGTATTACGCCAGGTACATTAGACCAACTGTACAAAGTGGAGGAGGCTCGATAGGAATCTGGTCGTGCTTTAATTACAAAGGTGTTGGTATGTTCCAAACATACACCGGAAGAATCAACTCCAGAATATACGTACAAGTACTGGAAAACAACCTAATTCCATCAATTGACCTGCTTATGCTCAATGATAAACCATGGAAACTTCAACAAGATAGCGCTACTGCACATACTGCATACTATACAAAGGAGTGGTTCAACGATAATAATATTATGACAATACCGAGGCCTCCATATTCACCTGATTTGAACCCGATTGAAAACACTTGGGCTTGGATTGATCGTGAATTAGCAAAGGTTCAAATTTCCACACTTGGTCAGCTGAAGGAATTCCTTAAGGAGACCTGGTATGGGGTCCCAGAAGCGATGTGCAAAAATCTTGTTGAGTCTATGCCTAGAAGAGTTCTTAGTTGTATTAAAGCAAAAGGCGGATACACAAAATATTGATTGGTTCATAAATTACGCTTTCTAATGTATCGTGCGTCTAAATTTATGAATAATATTTTTTTGTCTAATTTTTTTAATACCATGTAGTTGTACCTAATTATTACTTAGTATTTCATTTTTTTTGTAAATTTTTTTTAAATTTTGTATTCTGTATGTATTTATCTGATAAATAGAAAAAAAACTAAACAGAAATCTTTTTTCGTCATTGTTTTATCGTTAAAATACCTAAAATTTTCTATTCTCAAATATGAGTGCGTCTAAATTTATGAAAACCACTGTATAATAATTCATGATATATAATAATTCATGATATATAATTCATGATATATAATAATTCAGTATATTAAGTACAAATAAAGTTTATTAATAATGTACAAATAAAGTTGTATCATTATTATTAGTGACTTTACGAAATCAAAATGCCAACTGCAACAAGAACGTAAAAGTTATAATTTAGTTACGAAAATTACTATGAAATCGTCACGGAATGAAAAGTTTTTGTATAATTATGTATGATTTTTATTATAAAATACTTAATATTTACGAGCTCAATGTTTATAACATTTTATGCATTTTAACTAAAAATCATATAATGTAGGACCGTTTATTTTATTTTAAAGCATACTCTGATAATTTTTAATTTTTTTTGTTTACTTAAAAAAATATATTCTGTGAAGTTGCTCGGGAGTTAGCAAAAGAGTTACTCAGAGTTAGCGAAATGTGTATTGATCAATGGAGTCTACCCAGACAGCAATCTTACAGTGGACCAACGTTGGGCCAATGCATGATGATGCCTTGGCCCAACGTTGAAAGTCGATGTTGGCCCAATGCAGGTTAGATGATTGGTTAGGTATTGGCCCAACGTTGTGTACAACATTGGTCCAATGTTGTATACAACGTTTGCCCAACATTGGCTCAACGTTGTATATAACGTTAGGCCAATATTGTATACAACATTGGCCTAACGTTGTATACAACATTGGCCTAACGTTGTATACAACATTGGCCCAACGTTGTATACAAAATTGGCCTAACGTTGTATACAACATTGGCCTAATATCGTATGATATACGATTATTATTTTTATATCGGCCTAACGTTTTATGCAACATTAGATCGTTGTTACAAATAAGATGATTTGCATCGCTACATTGAAAAGTTATAGAGAAAAAAAAAGAATGTATGATACAAGTATAAAAATCTATTTATTTAACATAATTTCTCGGTTAAATATACATATCACAAACACTAAACATAAACCAAAAACTGACACATTGAGTTTTAAATAAAAAATTCACTATAAAATTTATAGAGTAATTTCGATATTGGCTGAGCTACTTGTTATTGAATCGTGTTTAGCTAATGATTTGGTGCCCACGATTATTATTTTTTCTTCGGCTATCTTTATCACATGCATAAGCCATGCTTATTTGACTTCACACAAAGAAAATAGTTGTTTGTTTAATTATGCACCAAAGAAACATAAAAAATTGAAAGTATCTCTGTAATACAAAATTAAAACTGAAAAAATAAACTTTTCTAAACCACTTACCATTAGCAACATATGCAATCAACATTTTTCTTATTCTAACTTTTTGTCCTCCCCCTGCATAGTTAAATTTTACAGCTAGGCCATTTAAAAAAACATTTTAAATAACATATACAATCTCCAATTTGTGCCAAATAATTAATCTGCAAAAACACACAACCTGGCAATAACTTTAGTTTAGACTTTAATTAATATAAAAAAGAAATGTCTTCAAAAAATCTTTAAAGAGTATTTTATTTAAAGTATATAAATTTTATATAAATTGTACTAAGATATCATACAAAATGCATAAACAGATCATAAAAAAATATTTACCATTTACTTAAGTGTTTTCTTATCTTTTTTCTTCCAGAGTACTTGAATTCTTCACTGCTTTTAATGGCAATGGCACTCTTTCAGGCAATAAAATAATTACCATACCTTTGTTACACAAATTTTTATAACTGAAGTTGATGTGTTTTGTAGTTCACCAAGTTGCACTTCAATGCTTGCCCATTGTGCCAATAATACCAGCATATCTTTCAAGGATACAACTTTATCTTGAAACAATAAAGTTAATTATATTATTAAGAAACTATACAATTAATTACAAACTATATTTAGAATTTATGAAAGTAAATACAACAATCACTAATAAAACAGATAAAATTAAAGACAGAGGAACAAATTTTTAATGATAAAAATATATGGATTCATAATATATTTATGAATTATGAAATTTGCAGGTGTGCATTCAATTTCTGGTACTAACACAAAACAATTCTCATTAATGTTTGAGATACAGATTGCCCAGTAAAACAAAAAAATTCATATTAAATCAATGTTTCTCCAACAAGGTTCATAGTCAACTATTTATATAAAATTCAATGACTTTTTTGAAAAATCAGATGAATTTCCCTGATCATTTTTAAAAATAGTTTTTACAAAATGTTTACAATTACTATCGACTGTAATGGAAATGCGAAGATTGTACATTCTTTGAATGATAAAACTTATAAAACTTAGCTATAAGTTAAGTTAGATATTAGTATGGATCTTATTATACATGTTAGTATGGGTCTTATTATTAAAGATGACTAAGAATGAATACTAAGAAAAACATAAGTTTCAAAAAAAATAAATGTGTAGCACCAAAAAAAAAACATAATAGCTTAATTGAGCGCTGTAATTTTAAAATGTGACAAGTCACAAAACTAAAATTTTACAAGAGAGTGAAAAACATTTCTCCTGTAAAAAATTTATTTCTATTTTATCTAAAAATTGTTTCTTTTATCTAAAAAAAAATCTTTATTTTATCTTTTCCTAAAAAAAAAAATAATATTTTCAAATAATCTCACTTTAAAAAAAAGTGTGACTTATGTTTTCAAAATACAGCGTTCAATTGTGAAACGAGTAACTTCTTAACTAGAATAACTGACTTTTCCATGACTATCTAAAGTAAAAAAATAGTTCCCTGACTTTTCCAGGTTTTCCACGACTTTGGCCAATATTAACATTTTTTTTAGATTTTCCAGGTACAATACAGACCTTGTCCAATGTTTGTAAATAATTTTTTTTACATATTTTAGTTCTGAATTTTAATAATAAAATTTTTAAAAATAATATCATCTATAAAAATATTGTATTACCTTTGTCTATTAAATTTAAATAAACGTTTATATAATGAATAACAATGAACCACCAGCAACTGTTAAAACTTTAAACTGATATGAATACTCTGTTGTTTTTTTCAACAGCTGATTTCAAATGGATTTCAAAGTTGGTGACACCAACTTTAAAATCCAACAAAAATGTTTTGTTATGTTTATAAACTTAAATGTTCTTAAAATGACTAAAAAACCTGGCCAGTTTTTTGCAACTAAATATAATTTTTGGTCAGTATTCGATACTGACCACCAAAAATATATTTTGTTATACAGTATACTCCCGCTTCCTGACCAAGCCTGTGGTGTAAGCTATGATATAGATATGTTGACTATTATAAAATAAAATGTTAATTAACACTCTGACTTTTTGACCGTAATATATGAAAAAGTCTTTTTAATTGTAAAAGTTAAAGCTATGAACAAAGATTTTCAATCATCAGACATAAAGACTTTTATATAAAAACATTGTTCATTCAACTTTTCAGAGTAAACATTAAATTTAGAGTTACAAGTAAATCCCGAAGTTTAATAATATTTTTTGTTTTACTATAAGAAATTGAGGATAAATCATCTACACCAAGATATAGACATTTTTTTGTCTCTTTAATCTTTATTTTGGCTGGTCATTTTCACTGTCTTCCTTTTTTGTCTTTAGCAGAAGTTTAGCCTTCTGCTAAATTTAATCTTGTATTGCTATAATAGTCTATAAATCAAATCATTAATAACTAAAGTTAATTTATAACTAAAGTTAATGTATAAGCTTAAAGTTGTTAACTGTTGTATGTAAACTAAATATGAAAAATATCTAGAGATATTAAATTAAAAAAAAAATAAAATCAAGAATAATGTCTCTTTGCCTCAGAAAGATGGAATATATAAAAGGTTAATTCAATTTAAATCATGATTTAAATAAGACAAATTAAAGAAAAAAGATTAAAATTGAATTTTTTTATTTTAATTGTTTTTAATAATTATTTATTGATTTAATTTCATAAATCAGTCAATTATTATAGACTAGTCATTGGTCTTAAAATAAAATGTCTGGCAATATTAGAAAGCTTTACATAATATAAATTCTATAGAATATAAATTCTAGTAACAACACTTTTTGTACACTGTTTTAATATGTTAGTAAATGGGGTTTCACAATCAAACACAGAAAAAATCAAACAAAAAAGACATACTTTAAATGTAAAATATCAGCTTCTAACAACTTCAATGCCACATATATATTATTGATACATTTAATAATATATCTTATAATAGCTAAATAATTTAAACTATTATAAATAAATTATGATTTTTTTTTTTAATACTTATACTGTATGACATTTCAAATGTTTGATATATTTAATAAAGTAGACATTTTAAATGTCTTCTTTATTAAATAAATGGGGTAAATGGTTTTTTCAAAAAAACGAAGACCAGATATATTACTGATTTGTGGAGAAATGTAGGAGAGTGCTGCTACATCGATTGATCTATACCTGCCTTAACCCAAACCCTTTGTCGATGTAGCAGCATTCCCTTGTATGTTATCCCTAAATTAGACAATGTAGCAGCACTCTCCTACATTTCTCCCCAAATCAGTAATAAATTTGGTCTTCGTTTTTTGAAAAACCAAAACCTCATTCTGAGTCATAGTATCTTTCGCTCACCAATAAATGGCCGTGGATAGCCTACCGAAAGCGGTAGCGGAAAAATAAAAATTATCCTACCGAAAGTTTTTTTTATTGGTTGACAATATCACATGTCAAAATAAACAATATTTGTTATACCGTAAAATGAAGAAAATTTAAGATATTATTTTTAAAAAACAAAAACGTAAAAAATGTAAAAAAATTAAATAGGATTTTCCATTAAATAAATAGAAATGACTGCCACCCCATACCAAAACCCTCAGTCTATGCATGTACACTACACAGCGCCTATTCCTATATTAGTAAACTTATGTGCCCTTCACTGCGCCTATCCCTAAGCTAGTAAATCTATGTACACTTCACTGCGCCTATCCCTAAATTAGTAAATGCATGTACATTCCTCGGTGCCTATTCCTAAATCAGTCAGTGTATAAACACTTTATTGCGTCTATTAATGCAATGTGCTATTCCCAGCGTATATCCCTAAATAATTTATTCAATTAATAAGCGTAATAAAACCTAAAAAATACGGAAAAAAACAATCGAAATGTAAAAAATATCCTTAGAAAGGATTCGAACCCGGAACGCGTTCTGCAGTGTCAAGATTATATCAGATACATTACTGAAGATTGCAATTGCCCTATTTAAAAATATATTTATATAGCAATTTTATTGTGACACGTGGTATTTCTTAACCAATAAAAAAAAACTTTCGGTAGGATAATTTTTATTTTTCCGCTACCGACTTACGGTAGGCTATCCACTGCGTAAATAAATCGAACATTTGAAATGTTACATTTATTTAATAAAGATTATTAAATAAATCAAACATTTGAAATGCCAATACACCAATAAGTATAAAAAAAAAAATAACTTTAAGATCTTACACAAAAATAATTTGATTGATGCCTTTATTATTACATTAATAATTTAGATTGTAGTAAAAAATGTTTAAGCATATTATTTAAATGTTAACAAATATTATTTCATTATTTAAAAAAACAAAATATTAAGTCACGAAAATCTCTTGAAATTTATTTCTTATAAGAAACCTTTTAAAATTCTTAGAAGATTCATAAATATACTTTCTTTTTTTATTTTTATAATTTAAAAAAATGAAAAGATAATATCAAAACCTTTTTTTATTCTGTCAAACGATACCATTTTTTAAAATGTTTTGCAACAAATATAAAAATATATACTAATCCGCAACTACATTGGCCGAGTATTGGCTACGGCATAAATGTAAGAACAGATTTTTATAGCCTGAAATATTAGGCCTAAACTACATTGGTCAAATGTTGGCCCAACGTAGTACGATAGTTGCAAAAAACCGCCCAGACAGCAAGCTTACATTGGCCCAATGTAAGTTTTAACATTGGCAAGTTTATTCCGTTGGGCCAACATTTAGCCAATGTTTTTTTTCGGCGTATTCTTTTCAATTCTGCAAATCTGTTTTTTGCAAATATTGTAATATATTGGGCGAACATTTAGCCAATGTTTTTTTTTCGGCGTAATATTGCAATTCTACAAATCGGTTTTTTCTACGTTGGGTCAATATTTGGCCAATGTAGTTTAGGCTTAATATTTTGCCATAAAAATCTGTTTTTACATTTATTCCGTAGACAATATTCGGCCAATGTAGTTTCGGATTAGTATATACTTTTAAATTGTTTCGAAACATTTTTTAAAAATGGTATCGTTTGACAGAATAAAAAAAGGTTTTGATACTATTATATATCTTTCCATTTATTTAAGTTATAAAAATAAAAAAAAGAGGCTATATTTATTAATCTTCTAATAAGAAGTAAATTTTATCTTCTAATAAGATTATTAATCTTCTAATAAGAAGTAATCTTCAAGAGGTTCTCGTGACTTAATGTTTTGTTTTTTTAATTGAAATATTTGTTAACATTTAAATAATATGCTTAAAACATTTATTACTACAATCTAAATTATTAATGTAATAATGAAGGCAATAATCAAATTATTTTTGTGTAAGATCTTAAAGTTATTTTTTTATTTTTCTTGCTGTAATGGCATTTCAAATGTTTGTTTTATTTAATAATCTTTATTAAATTTAATTTATTAAATTTTATTATTATTTTATAAAATTTATTATTATTATTTATAAATAAATGAAACATTTCAAATTTTCGATTTATTTAATAAAAACGATATATTAAATGCCTTCTTTATTATATAAATCAAACATTTAAAATGTCATACAGTATAATTTTTTTTTCATTATTTATAATAGTTTAGATTATATAGCTATTATAAGATATATTGTTAAAGGTATCAATGATATACATGTGGCATTGAAGTTGTTAGAAGCTGATATTTTACATTTTAAATATGTTTCTTTTGTCTGATTTTTTTTTGTGTTTGATTATGAAACCCCATCTACTATCATATTAAAACAGTTTACAAAAAGTGATGTTACTAGAACTTATATTTTACTTATGTAAAGCTTTCTAATATTCCATCATTCCGAAGCAGAGGGACATTATTCTTGGTTTAATTATTTTTTAATTTAATATCTCTGGATATTTTTCATATTTAGTTTGTGTACAACAGTTAACAACTTTAAGCTTATACATTAACTTTAGTTATAACTTAATTAATAATGATTTGATTTATAGATTTTTAAAGCAACACAAGATTGAATTTAGCATAAGGATAAATTTCTGCTCTGGAGACAAAAAAAGAAAGACAGCGAAAATGACCAGTCAAAATAAAGATTGAAGAGACAAAAAATTGTGTATATGTTGGTGTAGATGATTTATCCTCATTTTCTTATAATAAAACAAAAAATATTATTAAACTTTGGAAAAATATTATTAAACCTAGGGATTTACCTGTAACTCCAAAATCTTTACAGAAGTTTAATGTTTGCTCTGAGAAGTTGAATGAACAAATTTATTAAATGGTAAGTGTCTAATGATTGAAAATCTTTATTCAAAAATAGTTTGATTATTGCTTTAACTTTTACAATTTTTAAAACTTTTTCATATATTACGGTCAAAAAGTCAAAGTGTTAATTAATATTTTAGTATGTAATAATCAAAATATCAAAGCTTACACCACAGGCTTGGTCAGTAAGCGGGAGCGATCGCTCTCGAATACTGACCACAGAAAATATATTTAGTTGCGAAAAACTGGCCAGGTTTTTTAGTTGTTTTGAGAACATTTAAGTTTATGAACGTAACAAAAAATTTTTGTTAAATTTCGAAGTTGGTGTCACCAACTTTGAAAACCATTTGAAATCAAATGTTGAAAAAAACAACAGTATTTGTATTTATATCAGTATTCATATCAGTTTAAAGTTTTAACAGTTGCTGGTGATTCATTATTATTCATTATATAAACGTTTATTTAAATTTATCTAATAGACGAAGGTAATACAATATTTTTATAGATGATATTATTTTTAAAAATAGTGTTATTAAAATTCAGAACTAAAATATGTAAAAAAAATTATTTACAAACATTGGACAAGGTCCGTACTGTACCTTGAAAATCTGGAAAATTTGTTAATATTGGCTAAAGTCGTGGAAAACCTGGAAAAGTCAGGAAATTATTTTTTCTTTAGATAGTCATGAAAAAATCAGTTATTCTAGTTAAGAAGTTACTCGTTTCACAAATGAGCGCTGTATTTTGAAAAATGACGAGTCACACTTTTTTTAAAAGTGAGGTTATTTGAAAAAAATATTTTTAAAAAAATATTCTTTTCAAATAACCTTTCTTAAAATAAAAAAATATTAAGTTAAAATAAAGATTTTTTTAGATAAAATAAAGATTTTTTTAGATAAAATAAAGATTATTTTAGATAAAGTAAAGATTTT